AATTTCATGAAATTTATTTCCTTGAAATATTTCATTTTAATAATAAATAAAAATAAAATTTTTATTACCTATATCTAAAAGTTTATAGTCATCAACTGATCAACTTCTAAGTGAACATTTTTAAAAGTTGGTTTATTGTACGAAACAAAGAAAATATGTAACATATTTACATATAATTTATAAGTTGTTTAACAAATCTATAATACTTATAAAAAATTATATGATCTAAGTATTGAATAATGAGTCTAGAGCACCTTCACATCACTCAGTTCTAATGTATCTATTAATTTCGTTCATTGTAGTAAATTCAATTAAGATTTTAGTATTATATAGATTTATCAATATGATTATGTAATATAATTACTCTTCACAACATTGAATTAGATTTAACGATTGAACATTGATTAGGTAGGTATTGAGAATATATTTTCATTTGAGAATCGTTTATATAATATATGCGTTGAACTACCTAGATACCCATTTTTCCTTATTCGTTAGTTTGTTACAAAATTAATGTAAAAGAGAAAATATTTAAGTACACAGCCCACTCGATAAAATAATTTAAATAAAACTAACAAGAATTTATGACATATAATGTGATAGGTATGTAATATTTATTGGACTTCGAACTATTTTTATTTTATTATTTATAACAATTAAAATATTTAAATTAAAAAAAATACACAGATACTAATAATAGTTTATTCACTTTCCATTTAGAAAAAAATATTGTTCATTGGTAATAATTACTAACCTAGACATTGACGACAAGTTGACTAAAAAAATGAAATACACACAGTATGGTGCAAATAACTTATTATTATTTTCATTATTACCTCTATGATTTCCGTCAAAAAATCAATCCAGCGACACCACGATAAAAGATAAAGACAACAATAATCATAGTATTTCCTTACAAAAGCCATAGTTATTAATTATTATACTTATCGGGTATCAGCGACGACATACATGTTTTCAAAAATTAATATCTTAAAATTTTTCCAATATCGTACCGTTACAGGTTCATAGGACAAAGGACAAACATTTTGATTCACCAAAATAACGATCCAATGCAGCCACTTCCGATAAAACTGGATTCTATAAATGTAATAATACATTTCTTCTTAAGCGATATATTGGTTATCGGTATCGAATATTTTTATACTGTCATGATATTATCATCACATACAGTTATTAATTACGAGTACTAACAGTAGTATTTGTTGTCTCCGTCTTACAAGTTACAAGTGCGTAACATAGCAAATTTACGCTTAGCAGAACACGTGAAGCTTCGTTAGTTTAAAAACTAGAGTGAATTGATAAAACTTGATGGTAATAATATTATCTGTGTTTGTATGGGTGTTTTTTGCGATGGTTCAATTTTTTAGCAAGTTATGTGTGTATAATATACCGTAAATCAAAAATGATCATAGCTCACTTAAAAACTGAATAATCGTAAAAAATCAAAGTAGGTACAAACACAGATAACGTTAGTACCATCAAGTTTCATAATACATCAATTCACTCTAATGTTTAAACTAATGAAGCTACAAGTGTTCTGCTGAGCGTAAATTTGCTATCCTATGCACTGGTAAGACGGAGACAACAAATACCAGTGTTACGTTCTCTTAATAGTTTATTATGACGGACAGATGGAGAATAAAGATATATTCATCAATAATGATGGGGGGGGGGCGTGAATTGATCAACCTAGCGTAAAATTTGACTCGGATGTATCTACTACAGGTTGTACATTTTTCACGGAAAAATTTGAAAAAATTGTAAATTAGTAGCAAAAAGTGGCAAATTAGTTGCAAATCGTTGGTACAAGTTTGATGCAGTGATCGTGTCATGGGGGGGGGAGGGGTTCAATAGTGTCCCACATAAAGGGTTCACGAGTGTGTATTTCGTGCGGTCAAACGGAATTGACTGAAATAAACGTTGATAATAATTATTTAAAAACGACATATAGGAAAAGATAGAACATCTTGTTAAATATCAATGAAATAAACTGTGAAAAACCACAGTATTAATCAGACCACTCAGATAAAAACTATAATATTATTGTCGTACAAAATCTGTGTACTCACCTGTTGAATATAATATGTAAAGTATAAACACTATAATATTTTATAGGATAATAAGGTAGGTATTTTGTATACGCGTATACTATCCTCGACGTTTTGAGGAATAATTGTAAAATTAGTAAAATCACATTAACTTATCCCTATTCCAATTATAATAATAATATGTACCTACTACCTACTTATGACTCTATACGTGTACCTATATAATAGGTATACAATGTAAAATTAATGAGTAATAAATTATAATAGTAATGACATAAAACGCACATGGAAAAATAATATTCCGGCATAATGGACTTAAAAAAAATAAATGTGTTGTAATAATATACCTACAGTAAATTCAAGCGTAAAACAGGGTACATAACGATGTCTTTTCCGCATGTCTATAAAATTTCAGTGCGTGGGGTGGCACAACCACCAACTCCTTGTCTCCTTGCCAACTCCGATTACGCCTATGAGCACATTCTACAAACCAACATTTCTCTCCTAAATCTTCAACACGTAGTATTACAAAAACATTAACATGGAAATCTTCCAACCACAAACAGACATAAAAGTATCAAAAGTATATTAATTTGTTATCATATAATAGTATCATATTTAATTAGGTTATGTATTTTTTCATAATGTTACATAGAAAACAATTTGTAGGATATGTTCTAATTTAATACGTTCTATAATGTGAAATTACTAATTACAAAGCCATAGAGATTAATTTAACTTATTATTAAAAATAAATACTAATAAGCAAATAAACTAAATATAATATATAATAATATTATAATACTGTTATTATTATTTTTTAATATTTCTACAATTTAAAGTGGTTACAAGTTTGACTGTTTTTTAATAAATAGGAAGTTGATAAATTAATAGTATTACATTGTATATTATATACGAAATAATGCATAATTGAATTAAGTACAACTGTATAATTTAATCTAGTTTATTTTAACTTTTTCTCCTTTAGGTTTCACTTGAAGCCGCAATATCGGTTTCTGAAGCTAATTGGTTTTTATATTATAACTCATCTATTGAAGGATAACTTATATTGATTACTTTGAGAGTTAAGATTAATTTTAATTTTAATACACATCCCTGCGTAAAATAGTTATTTTAAATTCGCCATATTATTTTCTCATTAAAAATGTCTACTTTTCAGTGAACATAATGACGGATTCAAAGTTCTAGTTTAAAATTATGTTGTTAAATGTATTAATTTTAAGAATAATAAGTAAATAACAAAGTATGGTATGTAATATTATATATTATACCTAGTGGTAAATAATTGTTGAAAATTGAAATTTTAAGACAAAAAATTTACTTTTAAGTGTAAGAAATTGCATAATGAAATATGTCAGGCGTCAATCATAGGTAGTAAAATTTAAATAATAAATCAGAGGTAGCTGTATTTCCTTACACTCAATTATATACCTAGTCTAAACTCTAAAATTACTAAATTATCTTATTCGAATGTATATAGAACTATTTTGTTTAATACTTACATAATTTAAAATATTTGTTAATAACATTTTAAATATAAGATATCTTCAATATATTATTAAACTTTGAGTTTAAAATATCAACATGATTTTTTTGCTTGCTATTTTTGAAAAATATTTTATACATAATATTTTAATGACATGTTTTGACTTTTCAAGTATATTTTCAAGAATGTATGGTCATACAAGCTCTACTTGACTACATGTTAAACGTGAAGATAATAATATTCCACGAAAGAAATGTAGTTAATTACGTTCAATAATAATAATTATTAGGTATTGTAATATTTTGTTTTATAAAACAATAATTTTAAATAATAATATACTAACTAATTTGTATTTCAATAATATTTTATACTAACAAAAATGTATGAATAACAATCATAATTTAGTAGAAATTATTTATTAGATAATATTGTTCATATTTTAACAGAAAAAAAAATTAAACCGCCAAACATAAAATGTAATATTATAGAATAATGAACAAGTTATAAATAATTTGAGATGTATACAGTTTAATATATTGTTAACAAAAGAATAAAGGTACAATGCATATAAGATTTATTCTACATTATAAACTGCCTCATTGAGAGGTGAGTCCGTCGATGTTATTATAACCAACCCTTGAAAAACGGGAAAAAAATCTGGAACTCATTAAATTAACCGAAGGTTATCCTCCTCCCCTTCGCTTCGGGTTCACTAACCCTTAATATAATGTGTGTAGTATGTTCCCTACATAGCAGCAGTACCCCAAATTTAATGGACTCGAATTCTTTAAGCATATATTTTCTGACATGATTACCCTATCAGCACGGTACCTAATAATAATATGCTCTAAGGTACCTATTGTTAATGTTTTTTTTTCCAACTCATCAACGCTTTATTGATATATGTTTTAATATATATATATATTTTTTATATGTATAGTGTATATATATATATATAAATATATGTATAACCTCCCTTAAACTACTCAATTTATTTTTATTTCGTTATTTTTTAAACGAATTGTACCTGTTTAATCACTTTCCTGTATGTATACCAACTAGCTGTCGAGGTTCTGAATACGCCAGATGTTTTCTTAATGGGGCGTTCCACATTCCTTTTCGCTTTAGATTATTATTTTATTTTTTTTTTAACGCCACAGTACCACAATACCAAGTAAATCCTTGGGAGTCGATTTTATTTTCAATAAATATAGATACTTAATAAAAATTAATAGTAACAATAATAAAATCTACAATATAGTTACGAAATAAAGTATTTAAACGTATAATAATACTATGAAGGATTACAATTTACAGGTTGAAGAAGATGACGAAACGAATGCGGCCGATCAGCTACATTTTTGTCAATAATAATTTATGGATGGCTTTTGTTGGTTTCCAGCAAAAGTGATACAAATAGTCTTTTAGTTAAGCCCACACGCGTTTGTGTCCAACTTTAGTAAATCGTACGATAGCGTTCTTCCTCTTGGTTTAGTAACTGTCACTTGAATGGTGTAGGTCGTTAACGGTTTAAGTTTGAGTATCTTTTCTACTAAAACTATCCTGCGCTCGAAAAAAAAAAATTAATATTAAATTATCGTTATATGATTAAAGTATATAATATTATATATCATATATATTTCGTCGTACCCTTTATCACCAATGTAACATCGAGTCTTCGTTCGATAATTATTAGAAACATCGCTTCTCCTGATTTTGCCGTACCCAACTTTGCACTGATCTGGCTTGACTGAAAAATCTACACTTTCTAAGTTGTTACTATTCTCCTGTACGTACACGCAATATTTTAAATCAGTCAACGAGTTCGCGGACAACCAACCGATCTTCACCGAATTACAATCGTCTGATCCGACATATTGTTGGACTCTTAGGTCGCGTGGCATATCTGGCATTGGAATCATCGTTGGTCGTACGGTGGCCATCACCTATTTTAAAAATTACATCATTCTTATACAATTTATCAATACTAATTAATAATTATTATTATAAGTTAGGTATTGTCTATTTGATTGTTATAATTTTTTAAAGAATCTTATTTTACACACCAACCTCAATTGATCTGATGCGTTGAGTCTCATCTACAGATACGGATTCCACTTTTAACACGTATCTTTCTCCACTCTTAGTGTTGTTTATGATGAACTTCTCGTAACCAAAAACTCTTTTGCTTATTAATAACGTTTTTCTACAACGGATTTCAACGTATACCACTCCATCGCATGGCATGACGTACCAATATAATGTGTTAGGGTGGAAATCTTTTTCCAACTGCCTTTTATTTCCCACCTAAAATAATAACAGTAATAATTTGCACAAATAAACAAAACATGTTTCCCACAACAAGTAAACAGCCCACCAACCTTGTACCTGAAGGATGCTTTTCCATTTTGAGCTCTCAGATTGATAACTCTGGGCCTCGCATCTTTTAGTCCAATGGGTTTGGATTTCTGAAATTTATATGTAGCGTTGGCATGGTGTGTGGCTATATGAAGTTCGTGGAACACAAATACAGTAAAATAGTACGTTTCATCATAAGTTAAATCAGTCATCGTATAGCTTGTGTTATGTTCCAGATGATGTATCTAAATTATAACAAAGTATTCATGATGTAAGTATAGGTTTGTTAAAAGATTCGTGTACCTATAATTATTCCGTGTATTATGGATATTTGAGAGTAGGTAGAAAAATGAGCTGGTGAAAATAATGTATTAGAGTAACTTAAGTACCTAAGTCAACGTTTTTTTATTTCAATATTAAAATGTAAATCAATATTAACAGTCGTAAACAAGGTACATAACAATAAATACAATAACATTTTTACCTAATACTGATAGTACAATTATAGATAGTTACATAGTTTATCCATGGACCTATATAATAGTACAAAATTACTGAAGTTATACATGATAATATCTATATGACCATATTTTTGAAGGTGTTAATTATTTTTCAAATTAACTGTAAAAAATTTTTACCATACATAGTTATTATTATTAATTAAACTAGTTATCAAACAAAAAAATGTATTAAGGTAATCTATTTTTTTCGGAGTGTAGTATTATAAGTAATTAACTTAACATTGCTCTAAATTGAATAATATTATTAGCTGACATTATATAATATATTATAATATTTATAAAATTTAATATCAACTATTATATAGATAATGTAATATACAGTAGTCACTCGATAATTCGAAATTCAGGGGACCGAGTTAAAAATTCAATTTATAGAGGTTTTAGATTTACAGAGAGTTCGAATAATCGAAGAAAAACAAATTAATTCGAATTAAAGAGAGGTGAGAAATTGTATGTGTAATGTGTAGGTGTATTACATTTATTTTGACATTTACTTATTATACATACATATTAAAGTTTAAATAAGGTAGGTAAGGTACAATAACATTTATAAACTACGATAATATTTAACCACCGTCGTTATTAGTTTCATTACGAGTAAGTCAAATGGATTATACATAATCTTTAAATGTACATATATATATCAAGTTACATATAATCGCGTTTAAGGAAATTTGAATTATAGAAGTTTGTGAAAAAAAAATTCGAATTGTAGAGTGTGTCCCACCGACAGACATTTCGAATTATCGAGGGGACCGGAATACATGTATTTTATTCTAATTATAGTGGTTTTCTCAGGGGACTCAGTGTTTAGTTCGATTTATGGAGTTTTTCGAGTTATCGAGTGACTAATGTATATTATATATACCTACAAATATTTAATTTGCAACTGTATTATAATTTATAAGTCTATTAGAGAGTTTATTATTCTAAATAATAAAATAACTTTAAAATGGATTTCCATTAGTATCGTATGGGTATGGAATATAAAATTACATTGTAGTGACATAACAATTAAATAATTAATAGCTTTAGTGTCATAGACTTTTGTACAATATATAATATTTGTTATAACTTTTATATATATATCAATAATATGGGTAAGCGTTTTATTTCATAAGATAATAAATTAAGACGTGTTAATGTAGGTACCTCTAATCTGTCTTCAGGTTGTAAATCATCCTCAGTATATGTCAAATTTGTTTTTAGTTTTTCTTCCAAACGCATTTCAGCTTCACAGATCGTCGAGTATATTTTTGACGAGCTGATCACAAGACTGTACTTCATTAAATGATGATCTATATGGCTTAATGTTCATAATATAATATATTAATGTTAGACAGTTTTATAATATGTGTAAGAAGTAAATTCGTAAGGGTAAAACTACCTTAGATTCCATCTTAAATAAATTTTTTGACCGCCTTTTTTGATTTTAACTCCATTTGGACGGAAGCCAAATTGATTTTTTTGTGAATTTTGATTGAGCCCAACGTAAAACATAGCCTTTGAATCTTCACCTGTTGTCGTCTGGGCTGATATCACGTAAAGACCTCTTTTCGCTTTGCCATGTTGATACGTGGCAGGTATTGATACACCAGTGTATTCTATGAGTAACCTTCCTATATCACTCGACTTACTATTGTTCCCTATTATAGTGTACAAAAATAATATGTTTAGGCAATATAATAAAATATAGATAATAATAGCCAATATCCCATATGAATTCACTTGACTAATAATTAAGTACAGAATAGTTCCACTCGATTGAAACTTACTTGATATGATGACTGTTTGGTTATATTTTGTTAGAGGTATAAACTTCAAGTCCCAGTTGAGCATGGAGTTGCACGACGGCGTGACGGTCACGGACAGATTCCGGTCGGAGTCTTGGTGTATCAAAATGAGGAACCTATTAAAATACACACACCTTTATTTAAAATTCTACTTAACAACTGTATTATAGCAAAAGACCACCCGTAACATCAAAGGGTTGTCGGCTATTATAATACGATCGTAATTGACGATCATTGGCGGCGACCTGGAATTCCGGTAGGGGATCGTTTGTAAATAAACGCGTATTGTTCTGAAGTAGGACTAAGCAGTAAGCAGACATGACATACGGTATAATTACATTTAAATAGGCTATTCGGACCACAACACGTGTGTCTTACTATGCACGATAAATCTTGACAAAAATAAAAATGTAATTTTTAATTGTACCAGCCACCTAGTATGTATGAATACCGTTATTGTGACGGATTTAAATTTTTTTTAATTAATTGTTATTTTAATTTACAATAATTATGGAAACTATTTTAAAAACATACTATATTCTTTATAGTTTATTTATATACTTAACATGTACAGCGTGTTTCTCTGATAATGGCAAGATTTCTGAACCATTTAAAATTTTGAAAGTTTGTCGGAAATGGTGAATGTACATAAATATTATTTAGATTTAATATTTTACAAATTAAAGTTTAGTTTATGAAATAATCATCACAATTGTCACGTATGTAAGTAATTTTATTTATATTATTGGTTACTATGATATTATACAGATTTGTGCGCAGATTAACTAAATTAACACGAATAATTGATTGATAAAAAATTGATTTACATAAAAAAAATACAGTAATAATATTCGTACCTATATATATAAATGAACTAAAACAATAGAATTTGTATATCCGTAAATTTACTCTAATATAATATACTTATGGTACGTGCGGGACTGCAAGGTATACATAGTCGTGTCGAACAACTGATGAAACATTCTATACAAACATAGAAAGCTAGAGTTTGTCATTTGCAGGGCCAATACCACGAGCTTAGAAAGGGAAAAGAAAGGGACGAGGGACACATATTGTAATACTCGCCGTATACAGTAAGTGCATGATGTGTACCTGTGTAAAAAAAACCCGTTAATGAGAAAAATGAGCTGGAGAAGGTGAAAGCGTGAGAGTGCAGTGGAGAGGTTGCGAAAAATCGTCCTGACAAATATCTTTCTAATTATAATGTCCGCTCGTCGAGTGCGTGTACAATAATACACATATTATATGCAACGTAGGTATACATTATTATGTGCAAACGCATTATAAGCATTTAGATTCCACTCGGATATGGAATTCTGAGTGTCTAGACTATGGTTTTTTTTTTAAATTTTTTTTTTATCTGGGCCAAGGCTAATTTTGGCTAACCTACTACCTCCTCCACATTCGCGCGTATAAAATAACGCGGACATTGTAGTACAAAATCACAAGGAAGTATACAATAATAATAATAATAATTGCATTGTTGTTATCGAAAACGTCGATGTTAAAGGTCACACACCGCTGCACAGTGCTGCAGCAGGTATATCATATTTATATATAGTCATGCCGTTTGTCGTTGTGACTTGCGAGCCCCACAACGGCTCCGGATTGCTATATAGCATAGCAGTTTTATTATTTTGTTATTTTTCTTTCTTTCTTTTAAAAAAAAAAAAATATATATTCTAACGACGTCATATTATTGTTATTACGCGTGTGGATCCGGTTCGTGTTATCAATGCACCACCTGTGCGACATTTCTGATCAATGCAAATTGCGCGTAACCGGTTGAGGTACCGGTAGGTATATACCTACGAATAATTCGGTGCACCGTACTCATCATCACTCCGCTACGTAGACCACATATATTATATTATTAGGTAATAATTCTAAATAAAAATAAAGACGAATTACCGTTGTTAGCATGGAGCATTATAGCTATTATATTTGTTTCTATTATACGTAGGTAAAGACTTTTGACTCTCACGTGTTCGTGTTTCGTATTGAAAAAAAAAACAGAAACTCTTAAAAATATATTATATTATTAAGAATTATTAAAATAAACCATTGTTGAGGACATTGACGTCCTGGTTCCATCGGTAATTGTATTTTCAGCTAAACTCTTCAAACAGTTTTTGATATATTTTATCGATAAACGTTTAAAGCAGTCTTTAATAACGGTGATTATACTATGTTTTTTTTTCCTAAATAATTATACGTAAGAATTATAGTCTATACCTACATTTCAAAATATAACATATTTTATAGCGTTTTAACTTTTAACCATACACATAATTGAAATATAGAACCTAAAATTAATTTATTTAAGAAGAGAAAAATATACTTTAACACAGATTTCCGTTTAACTGTGTATTTCAAAATAGGATAATATTATAGTATACCTATCTTAAGGTTAATTTCACTATATTGACAATAAATATATTAATGTTGAGAAATTCGACTTATAACCGGATATAATACAATAATAGGTACTGCAGATGCAAAGTATCTAGGTGCGTTTTCTGATTTTTAAACTTAAATTTAATTATTATAAACAGATCAAATTTATTTTATTTAAAAAAGTTTGAAGTTGACGTTATTACGTTTAGAATGTTTTTAAATATTTTAATTGTTGAATAATATTTGTTTAGAAATCAACATCTGGCCGTATCGACTGAAAAAATCCCTGCAGGGAACAGCATACCCATAAACTGATCGACTTGGCTATATTATCGTCTATACTGTTATTAACTGTAACATGTGAACAATTTTGGTCGCAAATACTGTATTATTTATTGCAATAATAAAATTATAGTATGTCTAAGGGGCAATTTTTTTTAAATAGTAAAAAAATGCACTTGACAAGAAATTAAATTATTTATGGCGGCCAGCTACCTATATAGTTGTAGACCATGATTATCAAGGTTATAGTTTTTTTATGCATTTTATACTTAAAAATACTTTCATTGTGTTTCATATACAATAATATTAAACTTTTTAGAAATAAACAATTACTCATAAGACAAATGCACATTGTTAAAACATTAAAAAAATATTCACATCATAATAATTGTATTTGGTACGTATTTATTTAATATTATATACTTCAACGATATAGTATTAATTAATGTTAACTTAAAAATGTTATTGAAATCAAACTATTATTTTATTCTTGATAGGTACGTGTGATATTTGAGATTTTAATAAACAACTGATAACTATTCTCTAAAATTTAACGCATCACTAGCTAAAAGCAATTTTCTGTAGAGTCTTACATTTGAAATAAATAGTTTGCTTGCAATCAGATAGATACCTACATAGTATTATTGATATAAATACTATACATCTCCATTCAGTTATTTTAACAACTATAAATCATATCAAACAGATTCAGTTTTATTTTGCCTAGTTTTGAAAAACTGAATAAAGTGAAATAACAAAAACACAAAGAAGATTATAAATAGCTAGTCGTTGATTACCTATAGTTATAGTTGAAAATAGTCAAAGTGTTTGACTTTGTCTAACACAATAATAATATGTAGTTATATAAAATAATTTATAACTGTACCTATATACTTGTACGTGAAATGTATCATGTATATTATAAACATTTTCTAATCGGAAATATGGTTACAATTATATACGAAATTATAAGATCTAGACACTCGAAATGATTAGGTGATAATACATTTTGGTGAAATAATCTATATAAAACCATCTTACATGGTATTCTTGATTTAATAAATTATGTGTATTCAGCTATTAACTGTAAGCTAGGCGGTGGTAATAAACTAACAAATATATAGTAATATGCAAAAATATCCGTTTTTGTTCGAACATAATTAATTTACGAGATAAAAGCTGGATAGTCCAGTTAGGTATTTTACGTGGATGTTGCACAAATTAAACTAACTAAATAAAACGATAAACCGATCTCGTTGGCGTAACCACACGTGTTATTATATCCTCGTTTATGAATAGCCTCACCCTCGACATTAACAATAATTTATAGATGAAAACAATTCACTGAACTATTTATACCTATTATACATTTTTAATATACCTATATATTTATTATTTATATATTCTATGTTGATGAGGTCTTTTCGTGATTCTGCTGTAACGTTTTTACATATTTTTTTCACATCGATAATTGATTAATACTTATTATTAAATAGCTTTACGTGTGTCCACTGCAGTTATTAAAGTTAGTTTAACATTTAGTACACGCATTTCGGAGAAAAAAAAACAAGTGGATTTATTTAGGACTTGGCATAAGAAATCAAAAATATAAACATAAGAGAAGACAATTATAGATGGAAAAAAATATTTTCTAATGCTATATAATTATAAAAACAAATTTTCTCGTGTATAACACACACATATATAATATATATAAATTATCCTTGTATATTCATCTACTTGTATTCTGACTATTTATTACGCCAATAAATTACTTTCATACACACTTTTGATATGCGAATTGTTATTTTGTAATTTCAGTTATATGCATGGAAATATCAAATATTCGAAGAACAATAAAAGTTTAATAAAACAACTGATGGTTTGGGCATACATTTAGATTTGATTTTAAGTTACAAATATAAGATTATTTTGAAGGACTTATCTAAGAAGAACAAATAAAAAAGTTTTAAAAACACAATCGTACCTATGTGGCTATGTACTATGTCGATATAGCGTGTATAGAATATTGGACATAATTGAAGCGGAACGTTGAATATGAGTAGATATGAGTAGATGTAAAAATTAACTATTATATTATTATAGTGTGATTAGAAAATAACCGCCAATAAAATTAAAATTAATTTTACATTAAATCTGTAAGGCTTTTACACAAGTTCTACATAATAACGCAAATTATATTAAAATTTAGAATATGTTTTTTTAATCGAGATCTCTCTTATTTAGTTTATGCAAAAAATTACTTATATTGTACGCCATTATATTGACATATATCTATAATAATGATTATTGTTTAATAATTATATATTTTCGGAATTCATATTAATATCAATCATGTATAATGCACTAACGGAATTGATACAAACGTAGTAAGGATGGGAGACCTTCTATACAACTTGAGTTTTTTTTTCATGTTTCGTTCCTTGATATTTTAATATTTATGATTTGATTTTGATCATTGATCTTAACTATTAATTAAGACTTTTAAAGTATAAAAATGTACTCTTATTTAATTATTTATGCGTTTTATTATAAATTATATAAGATTTATAATAAATAATGTATTTCATTCATATAAATATTGATAAATGTTTAGACTGGTGATAAATCAATAAAGTACAATTGTAGAATTATTGAATAACTTCATGTCATACAAATGTATAATAACAAACTTGATGTTAAACATTATAATATAATTATCAAACTTAATAATTATCATGTACCTAATAATAATAATAATATTTTCTCATGAAATCGGAATTATTTGTGAACATATTTTATACTAATTATTATTCTATGGTGATAATTTAATCACATTACAATATGTAATAAATTATTACACGTATTATAAATATTACAGTTTTAAGATTAAATGTAAGCGAATTAATTATGAATATATTAAAATACTATTCACCTGTTATTATATTATATGGTTGTAAATTTGGGTAGGTATTCTATGCAAATAGTACATGCAAAAAAAAATTGGTGGAAAAAAAACGAAAACACTTACTTTGTTCTAGATTTGGTTACTGGGACAATGTAATCAGAATCGGGAGGTACAACATTCATTTGTTTCAATGAGTGTCCATCGCGTGTTAAATTAGCCTCCAGTGGTTTGAAGGCGACCACCGTCAACAACTCGGTCATTAATACCGCCAACCATAACCGCACTAGCATCGCCTAAATATCACATAAAAGCAAGCATTAAAAAAAGAATCAAAATACACGTGTATATTAAAATGTAACAAAAACGACGAACAGCTTTTCATATTAGCATAGATATTTTTTTTTACCTCTTGTTCAATAGTTAGTCATCCCCCTTAGCGGATTATGTGTAGTGGGAGTACAGAGGAGGTTTCTTTTTACGAAAGAAGAACAATGCACCTCTCGTGGGGTATCGTGTACTTTTCCATAGGCGAGGAGCAAAACGAGCGGTGGACGGGAGATCTAGATATTACGGGTTCGAATTTCAACTGGTCGCTAATTTTACACGAAGAGAACACGTAAAATGAAAGAAAAAACAGACAAAGACGACACGAACAAGTTTATTTACATAAAAAACATAAAAAAAATAATAATAAAGAAAAAACAGTATTGGAAAAAACAGAACCTGGAAGTTAGAAAGGGAAGCCACTGTTTCGAAAAAAAAAGTGTACTAGTCAATAATGGCATACACACTCACACACACACACACACAAATAAATACACACATACAAACAAACACACACACACACACGTGTTAGCCTACACCAGGAGATTTAGTTCCCGTTTATTTTTTTTTTAGGTACATTTTTTTCGTGATGTAATATTCAGCAGTTCTGACAAAATCAGTAAACACACGATAAAATCGCAGCATGAAACCCTTCTCATGGGTGAATATTGCCGAATTCGCATCATTTTGATTATAACGTTTGCGTATATTATGTAGATAATATATGAATTTTTTTATGTCCCAAGGATAGTGATATTTTTTTATTCTATTGTGAAATAAATTAATGGGTACCAAGCGACAATAACGCAAAATTCTTATTCTGAACGTTACAAGAACCACGATAATTTCTCATTTTTTAATGTTAGATTCATGTACTGGGGCAAGTCAATTTTTTACTAACATTAAAAATAGCAATAATAATAACGCCTATAGGCGTAAGTCTCCGGTTTTTTTTTAATCTATACAGGTACTCATCATAATAATTATGCTATTGGCTACAAATTATTATTTTAATATCGTTTATAATAATATATTAATATGTAACATAATATAATATTATTATTCAACCAATTTGTTTGTGTCACTTGAACTAGAGTTGGTTGATTGTAATAAATGTACCTACAACGTTATTATAAAAACGTTTATAGTTGTAAATAATGTATCAATAGATATATGCCTGGGTACAACCATAGTATAAGACAGGAATTCGGGTTGGTAAACAACCTATAAGTATTATAATACTGATCGAAGGAAATATCCAAAAGAATTATAAGATGGGGGTTTAAACTGCAGACGAATTGAAAAAAAAGATTTTACTACAGAGTCCACAACAATGGTCGAAAGAGGGTTGTTTTGATTCACCTTTTTAGAATAGGATATATTATAGCCTATAGGTATATATTTTATTATGTTATATTATGTTAGTTGAATAATACAATACGCACTGCAATACAACATTTTTGAGCTATCGCACCAAAACCTTATTATATTATAAAGTATATTTTTTTTTATTTGAGGGAGTTGGAAAGTGACTATTAGTTGTAACTGTATACATAGCCACATAGGTACTGAAATGTACGTTATCATTAAGGTGAAACTCGATAAATCACGGTTTATGTATGCACAAATCCCTTCTAGGTGGACGACAACTTACACAAATTAAACGCGGGTCCCACGTGAACATCATCGTCGTCCAACTTCATAATATTATACCTTATACCTATTATTTTAATATGTACATTTGTAAATCGTGGTAACGAGGAGCCAATTACAACTACTCATGTCACCGGACCACAGCTCATATCTATTTTTAGTGTACGGTATTGGAAAAAAATAAAACGAAAACGAAAAAAAAATACGAAACACAATGCGTCGAATAGGGCACGCGTGATGCAATGATGAGACTGGAGGACTGCAAGATAAGAAAACACACTTGTATTTTAGTCTAAATTCGTCTTCGCATCCCCTCGCGGAATTCGTCGCCGAATATTTTGGAACTTTGCCTGAACCGAACGGGCAACGATGACTCGATGGGGTGACGTACACTCGGGTCGCGGTTAATGTGTAACGAGTGTGAGCTATGTGTGTGAGAAAAAGAAATCTGTGGCCGACGAGAGTAGATAATAATAATATTATATCGTATACCATATGAGATATTATTATAATATTAGGAAGGTATATTGCATAAGGTATATGTAAAAAAAAATAATATAGGAACAACAATTATTTAATTGCGGTGTACTTACTCGGTTTAGTTAAATTCGATGCCGTAGGAAACAGTCACCATTAATATGTTATCGATTCGAAACGGTTCTCTAACTATATTATTATTATGTCCGATTAGATGATTTCGTAGAATGCACGGTTTTTATTAAAAAATATGATCTATTTAAATATTATAATAAACATGGACGACCCGATTGCACAGATGAAACACGAATAATTAATAATAACTAATATAGTTGGACGATGGAAAAATAACAACACGTTTACGACAAGCAGCAGCTACCGGCGGTATTGCGACGGAACCGAGCCCTTATAAAATCCAAACTGGAGTCTGGACTGTCGCATATGCTCTCCTCTACTCCTGTTTAGAGACAATCCACCATATGCCCACCCCCCAAACCGCCTATCACGCATGCGCCATGTTGCTTTATTTTTTTCTCATACCTTTATTATTATTATTATTATTACTATTACTATTATTATTCCTTCTCATTTCTTTTTCCTATTATTTTTTGATCGTTGCCATTTTTTTCCATTGCTATTGCTATTACTATTATTATTATTATTATTATTATTATTACTGTATTATCGTGAAAGGAAAAACAGCGCGCTATTCTTTAGTGTCAGGGTAAATATTCCTTGACCCCTGGAGGCTACAAATGCAGTGCGTATATGATAATTCAATTTGTCTCTTCGACTTGTGCACGCGGAATGCAGACCGAGTGCTTTACCGGCCTTTTGTTGTTAGACATGCACATGCACACGCACACACACACGTTCACAAATCACACGCACGCACACACAATAATAATAATGTATATACGATTTTTTTTTCTTTAGAACTCACGATATTGGTGCAGAATCCGCAATGAGTAACGTGTGTGGCGCCTGAGCTGCATGGGAATTCATCTCTCTTCGCCACTCTCCGTCTCTGTCTCTATCTCGGTCTCTGTCTCTCTATGCAGTGTTTAATTCTCGTTTTATACCCCTTCCGCCCTCGCCATCGCGATATGCATTGCTACCGTCATCAACGCACCCGCGAGTCTAACAACTTGAGATTTTTTTATTAACGCGCTGACTGAAACTTTGCCCTAAACACGTACCCAGGTATACGGTGACCGAGAAACCACGAAATCGTATGACCTTTGATCGGGAAATATTTTGCACGAAAATATCATAAAATATGTCATACACTTCTATAAGATAATATTATAAATTTCGCGGTTAACGTTGACACAGTTTTTTCACCGGGCACGGACCCTCCACAACCATAGAATATTGTTTAGCCGTAATCGTATTATAATGCATATTATATTCTATATAGGTACTATTACTCACTATACTCGTTGCCGCAACCCAGCCATAATCCGCTCGGTAGTGATCGTCGTCCGATACTAAATCTGTAGAATCGTTTTCGATGATGCATTTCGACAGAAGAAAATACTCGTGTTAGTGTAGGACCTATACATAGGCAATAACGGCCGGCCGGTCACACCACCACTACCGCCGTACCAAATCCGGTCCACAAAATTTGCACAAACTGGTTCGCTATAATATAATATTATATAGTATGGCCCATATTGATTTCTGCAAATATTGACAAAATAATAATGGCGCATATAGTTTTGTAAATATAATAATATGCTCATGTAAGTGTAATTGAAAAAGTTGACATAACCTAATCAACGACGCATTTCGTATCGATAATATTTTAACAACTCAGCGTATATCCGTATAATGACCATATAGTTTACATAATACATAGTTGTATGTGTAATGTTCATTGTACACAATATATATCAGTACAGCATCTATCTAATATCCTTTGGCGATATCATCAACCTCACAACAAATAAATATTATGAACTACAGCCGTACAACATTTTCTGTACGCAATAAAATAAACTTGAAATAAAAAATGTAAAAAATACAACAACCATAGTACAGTATTATACCTACTAAACAATCATATGAACTAAAATATTAATAATTCTACAAAATACTTATCTTTAAACATAGTATAAAATAAAATATGTATATTTATATAATATACCATATACAATTTATCTGTCTTACATATACACAGGTGCGTACACCGGAAAATGAATTATTTTATTTTTGTAGTAACCTATTCATTAATCAGAACGCTAGCAATAAAATCGCATATCAAGGAAAAAATCCTTAAAACGAGCAGTCTATTTTTAAAACCATTTGATTTCGATTTGAAATTTTTTTTTTAATGAATAAATTAAGAGACTGTCCACTAAATTTAATAAGTTAGAAAAATTCAATTTGAAATTTAATTTAATAAATACAAATTAGTTCGAAACGACCGGCATATAGAATAACAATTTTAACCACTTTAATCGGCTTTCAACCGCTTTACACGATAATCTCTTGTTTCTAAAATCAAAAAGTGAAATGTACAAAAAAAAAATTTTAATTTGATGTTTATAATGAATTTTGTTATGTTTCTGATGTATATCTTAAGGTACTCAAAGAAATTCAACATTTTGAGTTTTAGTTGATTAAAAAGATGATCCATTCTTTCTAGAAAAAAAATATTTCCAAAACGTCAAAAAATTGCTTCGGAAAGTTGTAGGCATAAGAGTTACAGTTTAAAAGTTGTAAATAAAATTATGATCATTATACCTACAATTGTATTTTATTTTTAACATTTGTGTTTTTATGAACCATATAAGTTGAAGAGTTGAGTTGTAATTGAAAATTTAAAAGTGGA